TTTTATTGGAGACCAAAATACGGAACGTGGATACAGCATGGCGGAGGCTTGGAGGTAATCATATAGCGATTGTATACCGTCTCCCCCGCAAAATAGTGAAGAACCGATTATTAAAAAAGCTCAGCATTGCATCTGAGCTCTCAAAAATAAGTTATAGAGTAGGCATTTACTACAATCGTTACGTACATAATGAGATTAGCTTAACCATGTATAACGTAATGATTGATGGAACTTCGGCGAATATTGTTTCTCAGTGTCACATATTTATTAGATGTGCACGAGAATAGTTATTATGTTTGATAGGATTTATTTAAAAAATTGATCGCTGATGAATTTTAAAACCAAAACTTTTAATAATCTGGTTCAAAAACGCCGAAACAATTTATTATCTTATTGTTATAAACTCAAAAGTGAGACGCCTATCGGGCTAATTGAGAAATATACTTCTCTGTTTCTACACAGCACGGAGCCAAGAGCCAGGGACATAGAGGATAGAGTGCGGCAGGGGGGGTTCGTCCCCCACTGGATTAAACTATACAATTAAGTTTGGAAAGTGTAATATATAATTCTTATTTTTGAACCACCCCCCTCCCCTGGAAAGGAAAAAAATAAGTCCTCCTTCAACCAGGAAGCCAGGTCGTCTAGCCCAAATATTCTGTACTAACACGACCTATCACGAAAATTCCGTACTGACAGGAAAGCCGGTGTAGAACAGCTTGATGACTTCTGAACTATTGGCGGTCCGGTACGCAGCCCGCCGGCCCGGGTTGCCCATGAGCCCCCCCTTCCAATCCCAACCCAAAGCCAGCTGTGAGCTGATTTCAAATTCAATCAAACCACACCACAGTACTCGTTCAACTAGCAACATAGAAGCACAACATTAATACACAAGAAAGTATTTTTAAATAATTGTTCTTATAGAACGAAATAACATTGTTTAAGTGACTATGAGGTAAACCTAAACAAAGTGAAACTTCCCTGAAATAGTTTTGTGAACTAATCTCGAAGTTAAAGTTCGTTATAAAATCTTGAACTCTGTGACACTGTGAGAAAAGTGAAGAATGAAAATTGATCAATGAAAAACGATGTCAAAACCACGTTTTTTCGTGTCATAAGGCGGTTGCACTTCTTTCCTGTCTTTAGGTTTCTAGTTGAAAAATAGAAAAATAATTATTTAAGAAATATCTTCGGGGAACTTGAAAAAAGTGAAAATTGAAATTTATACAATTTTTTATTTGATTTTGATCAATTCTCTTACGGAGTAAGAACAGAAATTAGATAGTATTTCTTATTCTTTTTTGATGATAAGAAAGATCTTAGAAAATAAGAAAACTTTAAATGTGATTTTAAGGTCTCGCGCTCTAAAGCAAAAATCGATGAGAATTTTGCCAATTACTTCTTAAAAACAAAAGCTAACAACAAGTTCTCAATAGTGCTAAAATGTACATGTTAAGGGCTACAGAAAAGCAAAAGTGAGGTAGAGCGGTAAAATCTAATCCCAAGGTGGGGTCGCCCGACACTTCAAAGTCGACCCTGTCTTAAATATGTATGAGACTGTTCAGTGTTTATAAGCAGGCTGAATCTGTGTGTTGAAAACGCGATGTTTCTTCACTTTTTATGACTCCAATATATTTTAAAGTTTTATTCAAACTTTGCTCTGGAGCCAAAAGAATTGAAAAAGTCTGTATAATTTTACAATTTTCATTTCAAATAGATTCAAATATTCCACATTACTAAACATTTACAAAATATGAATTCTCGTCTGCAGTTTAGATATTGTTAACGCCCAAAACAAAACAAAAACTATTAACAATTTTATGTGAGTTTTTTTTTCTAGACAAAATGTTAAAAATTGTCATTTTTAAAGTTGAAAATTTTTAAACGGTTTTTTTTTCTCACGAATATACTAATATAAAACAGTGCTTTGGATCCATTTAATTTTGATGCGGAAGCGGATCCGGATCCTGAATCCGCACTAGAAAAAAATGAATTCGGATCCGGATCCAGGTCATTTCTTCAAGATTTACTAAAATCTTTTAAACAAAGCAGAATTTTCAAAGTTTTTGTCTTATTTTTTGGCTTATTTTATTGTTAAATTTGATGAACCATTCAGAAATAAGGAAATTAATCTCTCTTTTTTTTCAATAGTTCAGATTTGGGTTTAAAGAGTAACCTTTTTTGCAGTTTTTGGTTGATATTTTACCCCCTTGGATCCGGATCCGTGGATCTGTATATTTTTTGCGGATCCGGATCCAGGAAGTCAAAATCTTGCGGATCTTAAGCAATGGATAAAAACGAACACATTTCAAATAGTTGTCCTCTAATAAGTGTTCTAGGATATGGTTAAATACAAGAGACATTGTTGGTAAAGCTTTGCGACGTTTAGATTTTACGTTTTTACTTTAATTTGACGTGCTTCTGGTGTTTAAAAACAAACATAGATTCAGCCTGCTTGTAAACAGTCTCATCAATTTTTAAGACAGGTTCAACTTTAAAGTTCTCTACGCCTTGGGCTTAGATTTTACCGCTCTCAATTACAAATGCTTTTCTGTAGCCCTATACATGTACATTTCAGCACTATAAAGCACTTGTTGTTAGCTTTGGTTTTTAAGAAGTTATTGGCAAATTTCTTTTCTTCTTTTGCTTTAGAGTGTGTGACTTTTAAATGACAGTGAAAAAAAGTCATATGCCTAATAATACAGCAGTCCAATGAGACCCATACAATTGTAGATTAAGAAGACAACAGTTGGACTCAATAGACCAATAAATATTTCACGCACCTCTGTCCCTTTAGTAAAAGTAAATTCAACATATATGAAGCATATAGTCTGACCGCGTCAACCTTGTTGCACCGGCTAGTCCTGTTGATTGTCTGCTTAATTAAATCCAATGTCCGTGCGGTACAGTACAAAATGGGACCGGAAAGGTTGACCCGGCTCGGAAATTCAAATGTACTGCGGCTGCCCGTGATTTAACACAGTTGTACCGTCTAATCTTGTACACAAAGCAAGTTTCTTTAAAAAGTTGTAAAACTATTTGCTTTATAACAGCATAAAATACATATAATATTGTTTTCCTATTCCACAGTTTTATGTGTTCTACTGTATAATTTACAGATTATAATTATGCAAGACTTAAATAATTCTAGTAAGAATGTTAGAAGAATATAAAGTTCAACTTTAATTAATTACAAACACAGAATTCTTAGAAGATATTCTTTTTTAACAAACAAACAGAACAAACAAACAGATAGACAGCTGTAACAGACATACAGAAGAGACAGTCCAGACAGATTTAACAGACAGGCATAAAAGACAGCCATGGCAAACGGCTAGATAATTAGACAAATGGAAAAAGATTAGCTTTTCTGTAATATCTGTATTCACATGAGAATATTTTTTTTTGTAAATAATAAAGATGTTAATGAATAAGATTTCTAAATAAATATAAAAAAAATAATATAAATATATTGAAACTCTGATATCATTTCTATATAAGAAATTTTTCTTTAGACTTATTAAGCATTTTTTATAAATTGTATCCTTAAAAAATATGAAAAAATATGAAAAAAATTATGTTTTTGTTTATTTTCCTACATTTTATTCATAAAATTATTCTAAACATTTGAATCAAATGCTTAACGGAAAAACTAGCTGAACAGTAATAAAATAACAAAAATCCAAATGTTGATAAAAAATAACTTGAATGTTTGAAATATGTCCTTGTTGACAAATTATATTATTTGTCAAGAAATGACAGAATATGATAAATTAACACTTAGGCGAATTATTTTTCCTTTTTTCATTTCTTAAATTCTTAGAAATCTCCTGTTGGAGAACTGTAGTGAAAGTAAATTAGATTTGTTTAAAAACAATTACATATTTATCTTTTTTGAAAAAAAAATTTGAAAATTTTCAAACCCACATATTTGTTCACATTGCCAGACAGGAATATACATTTACTTGTTTTAAATCTTATTTTTTAGGATTTTATCAATTAAAGACTAATGCAAATTATTTATTTATTTAATTTTTAGCCCTAATGATGTATTATTAATAGTTCACATTGACCCTAACTTGAAGGGTGTAAAAAATATGAGCGAAACGGAAAAATTGTTGAAAAAAGATCTTTTGCCAGGGTCTAATAAAGCAGGTTTTGTATACCTTAAAATGCTTTAACTCTAAATGCTTATCCACTAATTGTTTCGATAATCTGATATTAATAATTCAAGATGATTAATCCTCAAATACATACTTTTTGAAAATAGTTTATTCTTAATTCGATGAAAAAAAATATTTTGCTCTTATTTCTAAAAGTTTTCAATTGATGTGAATTCTTAACTGTTTCAGGAAAGGCCCCTGTAGCCCTTTATTGAGTCTTTGCCACAAACTCAAATGTTAAAATCCCCATATCTTTGCAACCTCGTTGTGAAAACCTTTGATATTTCAAGCTTTGGTCACGCATTTGATCAAACAGAATTTATATCTAAGGTTGCAAGATATATATTGATTAGAAAATCTGAGTTTGTGGCAAAAATTTAATTCCTTTATCTGAAAGAAATTAGACTCTCTATTAATAGAGCGGAATGTCTGAATCACAAAAGTACCCTCAAATTTGTTTAATCAAGAGCTAAAGAGCTATTAAAGATCATCTTCATCTTAATGAATTATTTATATTTTTTTAAAAGGGACTTGCGGATTTTTGCTTGTGGAAACAATGGAGAGAACTTTCATAATCGAGCAGATTTTCAAATTAGAAAATTGTCCATAATATTGATAAGATCAAGTAATAAATGGCTCCGTTGTGTCGTGAAGTGTAAAGATAAAGAATTATGTTCAAGATCATTTCTCAGATCAATTTTTACATCAAACAAATAATCTATACAAGATTTTTTTTGTCATATAATACAATATCCCCCCCCCCCTCCCTATAGTAAATTTCAATAATCCAAATAATGGGAAAGATTGAAGTCAAAAAAATAAAAACTACATAGCAGGCGATTAAAGCGGGTTAGTCTAATATTTAATAAGTTAGTTGTACATAGCGGGGCTATCCTAATATTTAATAAGTTAGGTGTACATAGCGGGTTAGCCTAATAAATTAAGTGGACATAGCGGGTTAGCCGAATAAGTTAAGTGCACATAGCAGGTTATCCGAATAAGTTAGGTGTACATAGCAGGTTAGCCTAATAAGTTAAGTGTACATAGCGGGTTAGCCTAATAAGTTAAGTGTACATAGCAGGTTAGCCGAATAAGTTAGGTGTACATAGTAAGTTATCCAACTAAGTTAAGTGTGCATATCGGGTTATCCGAATAAGTTAGGTGTACAAAGCGGGGTATTCGAATAAGTTAGGTGTACAAAGCGGGGTATTCGAATAAGTTAGGTGTACATAGCGGGGTATTCGAATAAGTTAGGTGTACAGCGGGTTATCCGAATAAGTTAGGTGTACATAGCAGGTTATCCGAATAAGTTAGGTGTACACAGTGGATGTCCCAAAAGTCCCACAAGTATTCTCAACCCAAAACAAAGTTGGAAAGATTGTGGAGGTCCTCCTGGTGCTCCAGGGTTCTGATAGTCGGATCCGAGTTCAACTTTACCTGTAAAAAAATTCAAATAGATTTTCAATTTTTTTTGTTAAAAAATTAACCCTTTTATTTCTATCAAAAAAAACTCGCTTTTAAAATTACTTAACAGTAACAAAAAAAGTTTGTAAATTTATCTTCATTTTTTTCGCGGATTCCAAAAAAATCAAAATTTTGTTAAGACAATTAAAAAAATCTGAACATCCATGAACTCCATGAACCTTCCATTAGGTGTCAATGTACAGTTGCCATAACAAATTTTGTCAGTTTCGACATTTATTGAAAACAAACAAAGTATATAGATTGTTTGTACAAAATATATTTAATCAACTAAAATCAAAGAAAATAGAAATAAACCCACACAGTTTTTTACCTTCTTGAGATGAAGTTTGCGCATCGGCACCATAAGGTATAGGTTGTGCAACTACCCCGTACAGTACAACCGAGGGAACTCCACCGTACATGTCAAACTAAAATAAAACTGTATCATATATGTTTTTAATCATAACTCATCTCATTGAAAAGCTATCGAGAAGATGCAATCATGCTTTGAATTTTTAATATGTATATCATTTATAAGTTTATTTTAATCTTACTTTGAGGTCAGAAATTCGGACCGGTAGAAATGTTACCTTCTCCTTCTGTCTAGTTTGCAGTATGTACGGTACAGTACCGGTAGAAATGTTACCTTCTTCTTTTGTCTAGTTTGCAGTACGTACAGTACAGTAGCGGTAGAAATGTTAACTTCTCCTTCTGTCTAGTTTGCAGTAAGTACGGTACAGTACCTTTAGAAATGTTACCTTCTCCTTCTGTTTAGTTTGCAGAGCGTACGGTACAGTACCGGTAGAAATGTTACCTTTTCCTTCTGTTTAGTTTGCAGTAAGTACGGTACAGTACCTTTAGAAATGTTACCTTCTCCTTCTGTATAGTTTGCAGTACGTACAGTACAGTAGCGGTAGAAATGTTAACTTCTTCTGTCTAGTTTGCAGTATGTACGATACTGTACCGGTAAAAATGTTACCTTCTCCTTCTGTTTAGTTTGCAGAGCGTACGGTACAGTACCGGTAGAAATGTTACCTTCTCCTTCTGTTTAGTTTGCAGAGCGTACGGTACAGTACCGGTAGAAATGTTACCTTCTCCTTGCAGTACGTACGGTACAGCTGAATTAGGACCGTCAATAGTTTTAACTAAGAAACTTTTACACATTCCTGTTATCAAAGATACAAAATTTATTTACTGCTTATTCAAATTAATGCAAGCTGTTATAAAGTTATGGAGGAAAATTCAGCCCCCCCCCCCCCCTCCTTCACACCGGTGAAGGGTTAAACCTTACACAAAAAAATATCTAAGTAAAAAATGGTTTATGAATTTAAACTTTGCCTTGTGTTATAATCAAAATAAAAAAGCCAGTAAAAAATATAATAACTGTTTCTGGTTTAGATTTCATGATCAACTGATTTTTTATTTTCATTTACAATTGTTTAAGTTAACAATTCTCTTCAGTCTTAACAATTTTATCAATTAAAGAAAAAAAGAGTCATAAAAATTTATTACAATTATTTAATTATTAGCCCTTAATGATGTATTTATTATTACAGTTCACATTAAGGGTGTACAAAATGTTAATTGAAGGTACAGGACTGTAAACCATGATAGAAGGAGCAGGTCAAAAATTATGCAACATTACTGGTACGAACTTGTGATCTTTTAAACAGCTCTTCAATGAGAGGTGTTATCATAGATTAATTAAAATAACAGATACGACACTAGATGATGTCTTTTAAAGTTTATGTGTGTTTCGATCTCGAAAAACCTGAGGCAGAAAGAAGCCTAAAGGATTTACATGTGGTCAGCGTGGAACAGGCACTCTCTCTCTGTCTTGTAATTCATGTAATTTGTGTGAACAAAACACACATAATTCTTAAAATGACGACATATAGTGTCCTATCTGTTATCTAAATTAATCTATGGTGTTATGATAAAACAAATTTTAATCTAATGTGCAATTTTCTTTAGTTAACGTAAGACCTGTAAATCCGCATATTTTTCAGATCCGGATCCGAATCCCGAGTAAATAAAAGCCGGGTTCAATGGATCCGGATCCTAAGCAATGAGGACAAAAATTCATAGTTTTTGAGACAACATGTTCATTGAACTCGGGAATTTGATATTGGGATCAGAATATACACTAACCATATGCAGCCACATTGAATACTTCTGTCTGACGGGTGTGTGGGAGTGTTGAAGTTCAATGTGTGTTTGTCAGAGGCCAATGTTTGTTTGTCTGTCAAGATTGTGTGTCCGTCAGAATTTAATCTTAGTCTATTATAACTTATTGTGTGTCTGTTAGAAGTCAATCTTTGACTGACAGAAGCTGAGGTTTGTTCGTCTATTATGTTTAAATCCGAACCATATATGTAGAGGTTTACTAAGCAGTAAGGATAATTTTAATTATATGGGTGTATGTCTGTCTGTCTGTCTGTGTGTTTGGTTATTATCTGTCTGTTACGAAGATTCTCTTAGCTGTCATCTGTTATAAATATTTGATGATCTTTGTTAATTTTTGATAAATTTTTGTCAATCTCAGTGTGTTTATTGTTTGTTTGTTTATGTCTTTTATTATTTGTGTCTTTCAGTGTCTGTTATTATGTCTATCAATGTGTGTGTGTCTCTCTGTGTGTATGTCATTGTCAATGTCTGTGGTGTCTTCTATGTACTGTCTATATAGGGTTGTTTATAATATTGTTGTTTAAGATTCACATAATAACAAACATAATAGGAAGATGGAATTCTAAATTAATCATTATTTAGATTATTATTAGCATTTCCATTATCATAGTACAGGATCGAAGGGTTTTAGATAAGATTAATACTCATAATTGATTTTATTATATTATTATTATTATTATTATTTTTAATATTATTATTATTATTATTATTATTATTATTATTATTATTATTATTATTATTATTATTATTATTATTATTATTATTATTATTATTATTATTATTATTATTATTATTATTATTATTATTATTATTATTATTATTATTATTATTATTATTATTATTATTATTATTATTATTATTATTATTATTATTATTATTATTATTATTATTATTATTATTATTATTATTATTATTATTATTATTATTATTATTATTATTATTATTATTATTATTATTATTATTATTATTATTATTATTATTATTATTATTATTATTATTATTATTATTATTATTATTATTATTATTATTATTATTATTATTATTATTATTATTATTATTATTATTATTATTATTATTATTATTATTATTATTATTATTATTATNATATACAATATATACAATATATACAATATATACAATATATACAATATATACAATATATACAATATATACAATATATATACAATATGTACAATATACATATATATATATATATATATAGAATAGTCCAATATATACAATATATCCAATATATACAATATATATACAATATGTACAATATACATATATATAGAATAGTGCAATATATACAGTATACTTGGAAATAACTGCCAATAAGCTCATACACTGCACCGTCCAAACTTTGTCACAGATTCTCTCAACCAAACAACTGCCACACTATTACAGAGACATTCCAACCAAACAACTGCCACACTATTACAGAGACATTCCAACCAAACAACTGCCACACTATTACAGAGACATTCCACCCAAACAACTGTAAAACTATTACAGAGACATTTCAACCAAACAACTGTCAAACTATTACAGAAATATTCCAACAAAACAACTGCCAAACTATACAGAGACATTCCAACCAAACAACTGCCAAACTATTACAGAGACATTCCAACCAAACAACTGCCAAACTATTAAAAAGACATTTCAACCAAATAACTACTAACTAACGTATGACAGAGACTTTTCAATTTCAACCAAATAGTTACAAAACTATGATAGAGTCCTTCCAACCAAACAACTACCAAACTTTGTCATAGAATTCTCAACTAGCAAACAAACAGCAACAAAAATATTTTGATAAAAAACCTGAAATTAAATTGAATGAAAATAAAAAATTAGAATTTAATCACATCCATTTTATACATGTATAAATACATTTTATATATATGTGGAGAGGAAAAATTAGAATTTTTATAAATCTTGATTAAAATTTAAAAAAAAAAAAATTATTCATTTTTTATTTCTTAAATTGAATTTTATTCTCGTAGCAGTTCCTTTGCTTCATTTCATACATAAGCCTTTATATCAATAATTAAAATATAAATAAATATAAATATAGAAAAATATCAATAAAAGTTTCTTAGAAAGTGCTTTGCAGTGAATCGTTGCAAACTTTAAAGTAAAATCAAAAGTCTCTTTAAATTAGGGTTTTCAGCGAAAAGGAAAAACCGTTTCGCGAAAACTTTAGCATTTTTTCGCATTTCGTTTGCTCGCGAAAAATACGAAAGTTTTCTGTTTTTTTTTGTGAAATTTTGCTTCAATCTGTTCCACGAATAATGCGAAATTTGGAATAAAAAATGCAACATTTTTGTAAAAATTCATCAGAAAAGACAAAATTCAGCTTCAGCTTCGCGAACATTTTTACGCCAAATTTCCCTTTTTTCGCATTTTTTGTTGAATTCATAACAGCGAAAAAATGCGAAATTTCGCAAAAGGTTTGCGAACGAAAATGGTCGCATTTTTTCGCGAAACCCTAATTTAAAGTGGATTTACTTTAAAAGCAAGAAAAGATTATGAACGAAGGAGTTTATAAAAAGTTCAAAAACAATTTTTTGTAGGATTTCCGCCAATTTCAGCTAAATTTTAAACCTATTGGAATTTCTCGGCTTCTTTGCTTGCTATGGGGGGGGTAATTGAGAAAGTTATAAAAAGATTCCGAACCTTGGTGTTAACACCCTGTTTCCTTTTTATGGAAATAAATCCGAGTGTGTCATGAATATTTATAGCTGAGATTATTGGATGCTTTTTCCCACTCAAACACCCAGAGTCAGAAATAAAGATTTTACAAAATTGCTTCCAGTCGCCTCCATTTTTTATGCGAGGCCTTCACATAGGTCCAGACAGCATATGTTTAATCAGTGTACTTAGACATAAACATGGTTTACCCTGTAGGCTCTGTTCCTGTTTACACACCCAAGGATTGCACCAGAGTCCAGGACGAATCTAGTTCAACTCCTGGACGATACAAGCTCGTCTGTGAACTGCGGACGATTAATTCTGAGTTTGATAAGACGAATTTTTCTGTAATTCCCTCCTTAGGCACAGTTTCATTGACGATTCTTTGTGCAGAGTCCATACCTTCAGAATCCAGGTTAAATAATAATTATAATAATAATAATAATAATAATAATATTAATAATAATAATAATAATAATAATAATAATAATAATAATAAT